CTGCAAAATCTGTACAAAATTTATGAAAACAATTTCTAAAAGAGCATTTTTATTGATAAAAGCTAAATATGAGTTTGGATACAAACACTTTGGTTGGATAGTGACTAGGTAAATGTTTGAGTTTTTCAAAATGTTGATTTTTAAAAATTTTTATTGAATTTTTGTGTATTTCATACAGAGCATCTCAATCAATCTGAACCATCTTTATACCCCTTCCCCACTGGCACCCTCCTGTAGCTCCCCCACTGGAATTCACATATTCTGTCATTTGTCTTAAGGCCTGTTTTGTCAAGTCAGTGTCCCCGGATGTCCCTCAGTACAAGTTCATCTTCTGAGGTCTAGGCAGCCCATCTCGAGTCTCTCGCTTTAGGAAGATCAGCTCTTTCTCACCCAGAAGTAATCAGTTGCCAATATTTCTTCAGCTAAGATTGGGGTCAGTTGTCCATTTCACCTGTTCTTTGCTGGGCTTTTGTCTATTTGAGTTTGCATGGCTTCTGTGCATGCTGACACATTGCTATAGATTCATATGAGCAGGGTCCTAGGTGCTTGTGGGACTCTCTTTACATATGGTCATGTACCTCCTCCCTGGCTCTTCCAAGCTTTCTGCCACCTCTTCCGAAATGGTCCCTGAGCTTTCTGCAGACTCTTAGTCTCTACTTTGGCCATTTGTGACCTTTGTGTTCCTAGTCCTCTGTTGCACAAAGGGGCTTGTATTACTCAGGGTTCTCCAAAGAAACAGAACCGGTAGAATGAATATATATGTACAGAGATTTATCAGCTTAGCTCACAGGATAGAGTCTGAGTAGTCCAACAATGACTGCACCACACTGGAGAGGCTGAGAATCTGTAGCCGCTCAGTCCTCAGGGCCTGATGTCTCAGTAGTCCCAATCTGTCGCTGAAGGTCTGGCAAATTCCTAAAGATCAGCTAGTCTTCAGTCTACAGCAGCAAGATGAACTCACCATCGAGAGAGAAGACAAGCAGCAAGAAGCCCTGCATTCTCCTCTGTAGTGGCCTTTTATACAGCTGCCATCAGAAGGTAACACCCACATTTAGGGCGTGTCTTCCAGCTTCAGATGATCCAGTTAAAATCTCTCTCATTTCAGTCAATCCCAGATCCAGTCAAGTTGACACCCAGGATTAGCCATCACAGGGCTTCATTAATGAGAATTGAGATACTCATTATTGTCTTCTTTACCCCTGCTCTCTGTTAGGTGAAGAGTTTGCATTGTAGATGTGCCACTTAGACTTGGGCAATTCACAATGTCTGTGTGTGACCAGTTGTGGTACTCTGTAATAGTCTGTAGTGCAAAAGAAACTTCTTTGATGAGTGGTGACTGGGATATTTGTCTGTAAATATAAGGATACATATTTTGCACATAGTAAGAAATTACGTTAATCTAGAAATGTGACGTTTTGGGGTTTTCTTTAAAATCTATGTCCACTCCAACCATGTGTATTTGGCTATGTTTACAGTACCACACATGAGTTTCCTCCCATTGAGTGGGATTTTAGTCCAGTTAGGTAGCTGTTGATTGCTCCCATGATAAAAGTGCCACTACTGTACCAATATCTCATGCAGGTCATTGATGTGGTTAATTTGGTCTTGAAGCTGGTGTTGGACCATCGATTGAAGTTCTGCCTTAGCACCTTGCATAGGGCTTTCCAAAGCTATATATATGCAAGACTAGCTGAGAGCTCGCCTTCAGGGGAAGTGGTTCCAGGTCAGTTGCAGCTCTGTTGCTCCAAATCCTTTGTCTGAAGTATGTTCTGTCTTCAGCAGTAGGGTCTTACCTTCAAGTTCAGGGAGACCATCAATGGCTGTGGCAATAGCCTGTGTAATTTTAGGACTCTCTTGGACCACCCTGGCCAATAACTCAAAGGAAGGCTTCTCCTGTCTGGCACTGTTTCTTGTTATGTAGCCTTTAGCTATACACATGGACTCATGTAGAGATAATGTACGTGCAATTTGTCATTAGCTTGTTGGACTAATATGATTCCCTTTGTTTTTTAAAAACTAGCTAGGCATTATCTCTCCTCTCTCTCTCCTAGGAGATTGATACTATCAAGGGAGAAATGGGAGAAAAGAGGACACTAAATGGGGGAGTCACGGTGTAAGGGTTAGATAGGGAGAGAGAAAATGTTGACTTTCGGCAACCATCAAACAACCATCTGTTTGTAACTCTAGTTCCAGGGGAATTGAATGTCCTATTCTGCTCTCCGCAGGCATTGTAGGACATGGGTACATTTACATGCAGATAATACACTCATGCACAGAAAATAAAAATGCTGCCAGGCGTGGTGGTGCACGTCTTTAGTCCCAGAACTCGGGAGGCAGAGGCAGGTGGATCTCCATGAGTTCAAGGCCAGCCTGGTCTACATAGTGAGTTCCAGGACAGCTGGGGCTACAGGGAGACCCTGTCTCAAAAAAAGAGCAAATCAATCAATCAATCAATAAAAATAATAAAATTAAAAAATAATTGGTCCCTTTGGCTACTATAAAGAATTTTACCGCTTAACTTACACTTTTTGCATGTTATTATCAGATTAAGATTTGAGATTAAGTATTTGACTGTTTCAGAGTACATATTCAGTCCCAGCTTGATCCAGTTTTATCATGCTTTCTTATAAATATTTGGAAAGACAGTGAATAGGACCCTGCAGGCTGCCCTATTTTTAATCTTTCAGAACGTCTATTTTAGATCTGATCTTTTATATTGTACCAGTGCAGAGGACACTTTTGGCTGTGTAACCTGCTGTGCTTGAGTGGGCAAGACCAGGGAAGTCCTGTCTTTCTCAGTGTGACCACAATGTGGGGGATGGGAGGTCTGGGGTGCTCAGAGAGCAGCTGGCCAGCTATGTAGACCATTGAGCTCAATGAAATCAGCTGTTTTGAATAACTTCTGTTCTAAGCCACTGATGTATTTGATGCCCCAATGGCACTGAGATACAGTGAGATGTTTCAGAAGGCACTTAAGGCAGGAGCAAAGAACCCCCATAAAACAATGACAGAATGCTAATCATTTGGTGTATGTCCTGGTGGAGCCCTTATCTTTAAAAACTGAGACATTGTATGTTTTTCTTTGTATTCTGGTTTCTCATACAAAAGTATCTTATGGAAATCCTCTTAAAGAATCCAATGTGAGTTGGGTGTGGTAGCACACACCTTTAATACCATCACTCAGGAGGCAGAGGCAAGCAGATCTCTGAGATTGAGGCCAGCCTGATCTACTATAGTGAGTTCCAGGCCATCTGGGGCTACAGGGAGAACCTGTCTTGAAAAACAAAACAAAGATCCACTATGGAAATGATTTGACTTTAAGGTTGTATATAATATGTTATGATCATATGACGATTGGTTCACCAGTTCTCTTCAACAGACCGTTCTTTTCCTTGTTTAAACTGCTATTGCCTGAAGCAGCTCATGTCCCCATGCACGTGTCCCTGTATTTATAGTGCTCTGGTTCCTGTGGCAGAGATGGGTGACCATGGTGGGGTATCCTGATGCATTCATTTCTCTTTTTAAAAAACATGGCATCTCACGTAGCCCAAGCTGTTATTGAACTTACTGTGTAGCTGAGAAAGACCTTAAACTCCTGATAATTCCTGCCTCTGTGTCCTGAGTGCAGGGATTACAAGTGTCTGCCTCCACTCCCGGTTTGTGGTACTGCGGTCTGAACCCAAGGCTTCCTACGTGCTAGTCAAACACTCTACCAGCTAAGCGACACCCCTACCAGATATGTCCATATTGCTTTCTGGAACAGCCTTGGCTTATATTTCTCCATAGCCAGTGCCCAAGAGTGTCTTCATCTCTTTAAGTAGTAATAACCTCTCTTCAGTACCTGACTGGACATTAAGTTAGAGTCATCGCTGCCATCTTCTGTGAACACTGGGGAATTGGAACATGTTTCCTGTCATATTGGCTATTCGCTTTTGCTGTTTAGGGCATTTTTCATCTTTTACTTGGGTCTTGATTAACTTTTTAAAAATATTTTATGTGTATGAGTATACTGCCTGCATGTGTGTAAGTGCACCCATGTCGTGCAGTGCCCACAGAGGTCAGAAGAAGGTGTCAGATCCCCTGGAACTGGAGTTAAGGATCGAATCCGGGTCCTCTGCAAAAGTAGTCAGTGCTCTTAACTGCTAAACCATCTCACCAGACCCAGCTTTTTTTTTTAAATAGAGCTAATTATATAGAATAGGTGCCAACACTTTGTCATCTGTGTTATAGAGAAATATTCAGGCCAGATAGGGCATTCTGAGGTATTACAGCAACATGCCAAGTTTCATCCCCAAAAGAGTAAGTAAATTGCTGTATTTACGGTAACCTATCTGATGGAAGCATCCAGGTGAATTACGGTATCGGTGGGTATGGTGTGGTCACCATGTGGAATGTTGAGCTCACATGCCAGCTAAGCTTTGAAGCCCTCAGCTTTCAGACGCTCTTCACCGCCATCTTATGCCCATGTGCGAGAGGCAGTTAGATCCCTGAGCACCACTGTGCTAGTCACTTTTCTGTTGCTGTGGTAGAAACACTGACCCAAGCAATTTATAGAAGGAAGAGTTTATTTGAGTTTACGGTTCCAGGGGAATTACAATCTGTCATGGCGGGGGGGCATGGGGGCTGGGGGGGGGTTTTTTGAGCTTACGGTTCCAGGGGAATTACAGTCCAGCAGGGCAGGGAGGCATGGTGGCTGGAGGTGGCTGGAGGAGGAGCAGAAGCTCAACTCTCACATCATCACGCAGGGACAGGAAGCAAGAGACCAAGTGGAGATCAGCAAGGCTTTAATTCTCTAAGCCCACCCCCAGTGACGTGCTTCCTCCAGGATAGCCACACCTTCTAAAACCTCCCAAAACAGTGCCATCATCTGGGGACAAAGTGTCCGAATACTTGGAGCCTATGGGGGACATTCTCATTCAAACCACGACAACCATGATCCATAGGTCCTCTCCTTCTGGAAATGAGACCCTGAAATCTCATATTCTCCTTTTTTCTTTTAGAAATCATGCCATCCTCGAAGCCTCATCCTCCTGTCGTTGGCAAAGTGACTCACCACAGCATCGAATTGTACTGGGATCTGGAAAAGGAGAAACAGCAAGGCGCCCAGGACCAGTGGCTTCGGTTCTCCATTGAAGAGGAGGACCCCAAAATACACACTTACGGCATCATTTATACGTAGGTGCAAAGCTGAGTTGCTTACCTGATTATTTCGTTTTGCTTTCCTGACTAGAACAATTTTCCATGGTCTCAAAGAAGTTGCTTACTCTGAAATTAAAGAATGAGTCACTATCTAGAACAATTTCCACAGCCTCAAAGCTGCCGCTCACTCTCAAATTGAAGGATGAGTCTGTGTCACTTGCCTTTACACCCGTTTTATGAAAGGTGACTTTTGGTAATTAAATATTAGCAGTTAGCTTTGGAATTAAACTTCCTGTACCTTTGAGACACACACATTAATATCTAAAATTCAAAGACATAAAAAGATCCATCAGTGATATCAACAGAGGTTACCATTGGGCTGTTTTGTTCGTGGATGTGGGATGGGGGTGTGTGTTCTCCACTGTGGCTAAGGCTCTGCTTTTTGTGATACATGTCCCAGATTGGCCTCTGTTTCAGACAAGGTCTTTTCCACATCAGGGCCTCACTTCTCACTTTTTTTTACTGTTTTCTTGTGATTTATTTGGCCAGTCTTTCCCAGCAGGTGACTCCTAGGTGCTGCTCAGAGGGCCCCAGGGATCTTGCCATCCTATCTGTCCGCCAGGCAGCCCCCCTCTCAGATGGTGTTTCAATACCTCATAACCCAGAACTGTGCTGGAGCGGTTTTCACATGCTTGCCTGCCCTGTCCTGTCCTGTCCCGTCTCCCCACCAGTATTTGGGCTGGACAAGATATAGATCAGATCACCACACTGCTTAGTACTCTGCCCCAGCTCCTAGACTGCTGTTGGCAGACTGTGGGGCTCACAGAGTTGCTACCCCTGTGCAAACAAGAGCTGCAGGAAGAATCCAGGAGTCAGCCTTCGTTAGCCTTCATGCCAACTCTGGGTGACTGACTTCTCCTTGGCAGATTTGCCATTTTCAAAATAAAGTCATTTGTTTCTGCGACTCAGGACTACCAGGAAGAGACACAAATGAATTTTTAGAGTCTTTGCTGTAGTTACAGACAATTCAGAGGAGCTTGTGTGGAAGTCACACCTTCCCTGGCATCTTGGGGCAATGAATTGCAGTGCGTTACAGCCAGTAGGCTGGTACAGATGCAGTCAGAACACAGAGCACTCTGTTGCTGGTTTGCCCTTTCTTCCAAGGGGTGTGGTGCTGAAGGGCTGGTGGGAGGAGATGGGGGAAGCTGGATGGATGGTCACCTAGCAACTCATCTGCTCTCATTCACAGCACTCTCTGGTCAACTCTCTTAAGTGCTCCCTCCCTCTACTTTATCTGTTACCTGAGTGGTAACATCTGGGATATTTGAGAGGCAATTCCCTGTATCTACACAAATAATAGTATTATCTGAAATATATTTACCATATGAAAATAATTTTGGAGACTGAATCCCCAATACTGTTTAATCACATCACCTATTCTACCATGAGGTGGTTTCTGTGAAAGCAAATTTTTATATATATATGTCTTGCCTCTCACTGAACCTGGTGCTCTCCCTCCCTCTCCAGCTGCCTGCCCACTGGGCTGTCTGGGCAACAAGCCCCAGTAATCCTGTTCCCCCTCCAGTGCTGGTGTTACAGGTGCATGTGGCCACACTTAGATTTGTTAATATGGGTGCTGGGGAATCTCAACTGAGGTCCCTGTTTGTTTGCAGCAAGAGCTCTTATCCACTAAGCTACCTCCCCAGCCCTAAAGTATGATATTTTAAGTATTTCTATGGAGAAAGCGAGAGCCCCCTCTATGTGCCCCATTCTGTGCATGGCCAGGGGCCGGGCCAGCTGTCCTGGTGTGTTTCTTTGCTCCCTCTTGGCTGTACTTTTGCCAAGCAACCAACTTCATCTGTGGAGACCGCAGCCTCTGAACTGGTCTCTGTCAGGCCAGAGCAAGCACATCTCCTGCAGACCCTGGTCCAAGGGCCTTGGTGAAAGGCCTGATTTCCTTGGAGAGTTGTGCACAGGAGCCTTGGCACTAGGTGGCAGAACTGTACTACAGTAACCTCCACCTCTGCTTCCTTGCTCTCCTTTCTCCAGATACCATTAAAACCAGGGAACGCCTGTCCTTAACCAAGTGATTATCTAGAGTGACACCGGTCCTTGGCTTAGGAACTTCTTCCCCCTTGGTAGCTTGGTTCTGGTCTGTCACCAGGTGGCCTTGTGTCAGTGGAATGGTCTTTGGCTTGGACTTTCTTGGAGCTACGTGGTCATCTACTTTTGTGGGGTCTCCCTCTGTGCCCTCTCAGAAGGCTAGGCTATTCCACCCTGTTTTATGACTGGTTTGTGGTGTTCCAGGCCCTGCACTGCCCAGACGTTTGCTGATGCCGTGCATCTTCTTGCCTCTCGGCCCATCATTCTGTCGCACAGGTGGATTTTCATTCTCATCTTCTCTTTGTCCTGTGTGGCTCTCTGTTGCCTGGAAGGCAAAGGGCACAGTCCTCAGAGCCCGATTCCCCAAGATTTTGTTTAATCAGGTCCCATATTCCCTTCTGTAGGTGGTTTCATTTTAAAAGCATAAATTGTAGCTGGGTGTGGTGGCTCATGCCTTTAATCCCAGCACTAGGGAGAGAGATCTCTGTGAGTTCGAGGCCAGCCTGGTCTCCATAGCGAATCCAGGCCAGCTGGGGCTACAGGGAGAGCCTGTCTCAAAAAAAAAAATTAAAAAAAAGCATAAGTTGTGTATATATGTATACGTGTATAGAGTGTTATAGAGTGTGTGTACAGTATGTATGTGGTGTGTGTGTGTGCAGCTTGCCCACACCTGGCTTTCTTACTACCTCTTACTTCTGAGCACAGACCCTGACTGATGGACATCTTGGCCCTGTGCATATACCCTGCCTTTTCTGCATATATGTTTCTTGTTCTCCCTGTTTGGACACATGTCCCTGTCACCTGTCCCTTCTTCCACCCATGTCATACTCTACCTCAACGCAAGCCGCCCTTACTGATTGTCGTGCCACCTTCCTATGACGATTGGGACCCACGTCACATGTCTCATCCATTCCACTAGCTGTGTGACTGAGTGCCCACCATGTACCAAACACTGTTCTGGATGCTAGAGATGTGACTCTGGGGACAGACACATTCTTCATGGTAGGAAAACACATGATAAATGGAATGCAGAAGTCACACTGTGTCGCATGCCAAGCGGTGGCAGGTGCTAAAGAGGAAAGCAGGGCTCAGCCTCGGGTAGAGGGGAAGAGAGGCCTGTGGGGGAAACACTGAGCGAAGATCCGAAGCAAGTGCAGGCTATGGGGGTGTGTATGAGGTAGGGCAGTGCCATGTGGGAAAGCCAGAGGTGGAGCGTGGAGGAGCGAGGTGAATGGGACAAGGTCCTAAGAGGTAACCGTTTGGGTCTGTAACTTATCCAGAGAATATTGTATGAAAATCACAAAAATTTAATAAAAAATAAAATTTAAAAAGGAGGGGGGAGTCAAGGATGCCATTAAGCTGAAGAGAGGCAGGGGCTGCATGTTTTATGAGGGCTGCTGTGGCTGTGATAGCGATCAGGCTGTGGGAGCCAGGAGCCAGGCAGCAGGGAGGGCTAATTAGGAAGCTTTTGCTATAATTGAGGTGGGAGATTGGAGAACAACATGAGAACCACTGGAACACAAGATGTGCTTTAACGAGAGATTTAAAAAATTTGCTAGTGTAGCTGGGCACTGTGGCTGCTTGGGAGGCTGAGGCATGAGGGTCATGTGAGCCCTAGAGATGAGGACCAGGCTAGAGAGCACAGTAGGACTTCATCTAAAACAAACAACCTTAAAAAATTCCAGTGCAATAGACCTATTAGATATGGGTATGGATGGTCAAAGGTCATCGAGAGAGACTATGTGTGTATGTATAAGTGCACACATGTACGGTGGGGACCAGCCCTACACAAATTATAGCAAGGATGCTCATTTCACGATAAAATTCACTTAATCGTAAGAATAATTTGTTCCAGGCTGATATATTTGAGTTCTTAAAATTATAATTTTCAGCCCATGTAGTGATTTTAGAGCTTTTACATTTATGGTAAGTGTATTTATATTTCTCACACATATATATTTTGTTTTCATATTCAAATGCTTTTCTTAATGCCTTCGGAACTATTTATTATCTAATATTGCTGTATAACCAACTGCTCACACTTAGTAACTGGAGGCAGAAGCAAGGGTATGTGCAGTGTGTCTGTGCATGTGTGTTATGTGTGTGCTTGCATGCATATCTGTACATGTGTATCTGTGTATTTACATACTGTACTTGTATGCATATCTCTGTGCATGTATGTGTTTATGTGTGTGCTTGTATACATGTCTGTGTGTGTGTGCATGCCTGTGTTCACATATGTCTGCCTGCTCATGATCTGTAGCTTGGGCCGTGTCAAAGCCCTGGCTTCTGCTCCCGGCAGGTACAGCTGTGCTAGGACTGCCCGGTACCTCTGCTGGCGCAGGGTCCTGCCTAGACTTCTTCCTTTCCATCACTGCCTGCTACATTTCAGGGGCTATGTCTTACCAAGAGGCCTCTCTGAGCAGGGACCTAGAATGCTTCATGGCCGCTAGTTTCTTAGGGCTTCTCCCAGTGGCCCAGTGCCACCCAGCACCACCCCTACCACTTTTCCTCCTGTTCCAGGAGCAGGACTAGACCCTGCCTGTGTCCCTGCAGGGATGGGAGGGTCTGGCCTCCCTGCACCTGTGACTTCTTTTGGGCAGAGAGGCGGTTTCAGGCACAGGTGGTACCAGATTGGGACCGAGTCTGTGAGCAAAGAGCCAGGAGGCAGAGCCTGCGGTCAGAGGCCTCAGCGCCGGCCGCTTTCTCGGCTCCATCGGAGCGGAGCCTGAAGTAACGTGTGGTACAGAAAAGGCATGCCGTGTTACCTCACCGGAACCTCACTTTAGATAAAGGAGAGAAGGTCTTCGTGAGCACTTCAGTTATCGAAAGGGTACTGGGGGCTTTGAGGGTGTCTGGATCTCGGAGGCATCTTCCCTTGGGTGCCCCTGGGCTCATGCATTCAGGGTCACTCTGGATGGGGCATACAGGACCTTCTTTTGGGGTTGGTGTCCTTTGGACCCCACATTCCATTCTGAGGCATCATGCCTGTCGTGGAGGTCAGAGACGGGCCCTGTGGGACTGACTCCCTGCAGTGCCTTCCTCCTACTTCACTGCCGGTGCAGAGGAATGATGTCTGATGGGCTGGTCGCGGGGGGGGGGGGGGGGGGGGCGGAACGCCCCGGGGGGGGGTGTTTTTGGGGGGGGGCGGCCCCCCCGGGGCGCGGGGGGGCTGCTTTTGTGAGGAGAGTCGCGGTGCGGGTCCAGCAGGCTTCTCCGGCGTGCCGCGTCCTGGAAGCGGGGGGGGGGGGGGGGGGGGGGGGGGCGCAGAAGGCCCCAGTGGCGGCATTCTTTAGGAGGTACGGCTCCAGCCGGGGCCAGTGGAGGCTCTGTTCTGTGGATACACCTTTCATGTTACCCTTCCTTCCCAGGGGAGAGACGGCTTTTCTGGCCGGCTCTGGGGCTGGAGAGGCGAAGCTGTGTGGTTACCTGGTAGTACATTCTGCCTTCTTACCTCTGAAGCCACGTTATGACTGGACTCTTCCTATCCTTGACTGCTCCTTTTACCAACCTATTAGCAGGGGATAGGTCAGCCCACTAGGGGCTGGTCCATCTCAGCCTTGAGTTTATCCAGGGATGCCTCCCAGCCTGGCCCAGAACTTTCTAAGAAACTGGCACTGTTTGTTTAAGTTGCAGGGTGTAGAACTTGTGTATAAACGTTTAGGTTGAAAGCTGGGTGTGGTGGCACACGACTTTAGTCCCAGCACTTGGGAGGCTGAGGCAGGCAGATCTCTGTGAGTTCGAGGTCAATCTAGTCTACATAGTGAGTTCCAGGACAGCTGGGGCTACAGGGAGACCTTGTCTCAAAAAGTCCAAAAAAAAAAAAGCAAGTTTAGGCTGAATATCAACATCCTTGAAGAGTTAGTTTGTGACTCCCAATGGATGGTTTTGGCCTCCACAGAAGTTATGCTGAGGATGAGAAATCAGACAGAAAGACATTCGGAGGAAACAATGGTGTGCTTGGCATGCACAGAGCTCTGGGGTGTGTGCTGAAGGGAGGGAGTGTGTGCCCAGAGGGGAGTGGACAGAGAACAAGCTACACAGTGTGCATCCCAGCAGATCCCCAGCTTCTGAAGCCCAAGGACAGGAACATTTAGAAACAGACTTGAAGAGGGAGTTCCTGGAATCTAGTCAAATACGCATAAAGACTTTTGGCCGAAAAGGGAAACCGAGGGTTGGGTGATATCACGGAGTACATATAACCCTGTCCCTGTTGGAGGCATGATATCCTAGAATGTGTGCCCAGGCAGAGCCATCTCCTGGACCTCCCTCACAGAGGCTGGCATTTCCCTGCACCTGCTGGGTACATTCTGCCCAGTGTCCTCTGAGCAGGCCGGCTGGCCACCTCACTGCGTTTCCTGTGGTCATTTTTACAAACTCCAAATTGTTGGCCTTGGTATTCCTTCCTTCTGGAGCCACGTGAACTTCCATTTGGAGCCTCTAGTCAGATTTCTACTGCAGAAGCATTCGGTGCCCGTTGACCACCAATGTTCCTAGAGGGACCTAGACATGTGGCACTGTGTTAGAGCTGGTTTTTGTGGGAAGCGAGCACAGCTGAGTCAGCCAGATGGCGCCCTGGCTGGCTGCCAAACCTCGTGCTGTTTACTCCAACTCTTGGCTGATTGCCAAGGCTCGCGATTCCCGCTTGTTTATCAAAAGTATAAGCCAACACAGGTGCTGCCAGCCTAACGATCTTGCTACATGCCTATGAGCTACACTCTGCCTGGCCGCTGCACGTGTGTGAGCCCTGATTGGTACCGGCTGGGGGGAGGGCTGTTGGAAACGCTATATAAAGAGCTGAAGTGTGTAATAGAAAGAGAGCCAGCATCATAGTGAAGAGAATAAGAGAGAATAAAGGAGAAAGAGAAACAGAAGCTTGAACCTCACCTTGGTGTCTGTGTCGTCTTTCCTGGACTCTGCTGGACAGAGTCCTGGCTCGCGGCAGGTTTTTACTGTGCTGACTTCCTAGCTAGACTGTGAGTTGCTTCTGAGGAGCAAGCATCATTCATTTGATTTCTTCAGGTCTGTTCCCTGCAGCATCCTACCTGTAGGAGTGTGCAGCTATTTGTCAGCACCCCCCCCAGAGATCCTAGTCACAGCTCTTACATAAGCAGTTATCTTTCAAATGTGAAACTTTGTCACTTGAAGATAAATTTCATGGTTTAACATAATTATTTCTCTGACAGCATGCCAACTACACACCAGGCACTGGTATCGTGTGATTTTTTATTTTATTTTTTGGTGGGGTGGGTCAAGACATGAACAAATGTCTATTTATCTAGGTGGAGAGCCAGAGATGCACCAAGGTCACAGTTTCATGAAAGTCCAATTTGGTGAACCAGTGAGTTTATGGTGGTTACTTACAGGAGTGTGGACGACTCAAAGGCAGCTGTTCCACTCAAGAGCCCACCCCAGCCTGGTGCTGACTCACAAAAGCTGCACCCCCAGAGCTCTCTGTAAGGCTCCAGGCAGCTGGACAGGAGGAGACCGTCTCCCTCAGGCAGCTCAGATGCTCTCCTGAATCTTGACTGGTTGGAGATTCTCTTGGGTACAGCTTCCATAACCCTAGGGAGGCACCTTGTGAATCTCATTCCAGATACTTCCTGAGACTTGTGAGTCATTTACTTCTCGGGTCTCATGAGCCTCCCCATGCCATGTTTCAGTTAGGAGGAGACTGCCACACAACTGGCGAGGCCCTGTGGGCCAGGGAAGAGGTGGCATTTTTCTTAAGGAATTGTGTGAAGCAGGCTCAGGCCTGTGCTGGAGGTGGACAGCATCAAAAGTTGTCTCCTCTTGTCCCTAGCTATGAGGGATGCTGCTCAGGCGACCTGGAGCCATGTGTGTGTCTCTCCTCCTGTCTAGGGGATATGCCACGAAGCACGTGATTGAAGGTCTGGAACCAAGGACACTGTACAGATTTCGACTGAAGGTCACTAGACCCTCTGGAGAGTACGAGTACAGCCCAGTCGTCTCCGTGGCAACGACCAGTGAGTACAGGCATGCTCTGTGACAGGCAGTGAGTGCAGAGGTAGAAATCAGCTGCCTTTTCCTAGGCCCTCCCTTTCTAAAGCTGAAAGACTCCGCACCTAAGCCCTGTGATGTTTGCCTTTGGGACTGGTTTACAGCCTGGATGAGGGAAGGCCAGTGAATGCTTTTCCAAACTGGGAGAGCTGACTTGGTGCCAGGACTATCCTGTGGATGGGCATTGGGCAGGGGTGGAGTTAGTTACCTGTCTGAGGAAGTGGGCCAGCAGGGCTGGGCTGAGAGCTGCCTCCTTGGTGAGAAAGAACATCTCCTGCACATTTGTCCTTGTGTTTCTTGCCTGGCCACATACATCTGGCTCCTGGGGTAGTGACAGCAAGGAAAATCATGATCAATGCTGCCAGACCACAGGGAGGGGGAGCCCCACAGAGGGGCCAGAGAGCCTGGCCACATCGCCTCTGACCACTTTGGCCTTGTCCTGGCTTTCTGACATTTTCTGCGACTGGTATTTTAAAATATCTAAAGATGCATGTGTTCAGTGTCATCTTTGAGGCAGACTGTCGTGCATATTCACCCAGTCAGCGGCCCACTCACGGACAACACAGGTGAGATTTTTTGGGGGGTGGGGTTGCGCAAAGGAAGTCTTTTTGAGTAAAGTTCTTTTTGGTTTTACCCAGTATGGCTCTGGGCTGGCTTGCTTGAGTTCTGGAGCTTTCACTGGGCCTTCAGGGGTGTGCTTCTCCATGTGGGCTTTTGTGTGGACTGAAGACAATTCAGATTTTCAGCTACCACCTTGTACCTTCGACTGCAAGGATGGAACAAGGGACTGGTCCTGGATGAGCGGACTGCAAGCAGAGTTAGTTAAAGCTGAGAGGGGACTTCACTTAGGTTTCCAAATGGTGCTTAAGCTAGCCGTGAAACGGTAATTTCAGAGGAAGCTTGCAATAGTCAATAATGGAGATGCAGGTCAGGTAGGAGGGCCTGCTCCATAATCTGGTGGTGCTGAAAGCTTGGTGTTTGCAGGGAGGATATTCAGCCTCTAGAGCTCTGGGGAAAGAAAGCAGAGCAGCGGAACAGAGGTGGCTTTGCGCACAGAAGGAGGGCCAGGGCAGGCAGGGAGAGGGGGCACAGGGCCTGATGCTCTCCCAGGCGCTGCTCTACTTCCTCCTGACCCCTACTGCTCCAACCTCCCAGGCCGTCCTTGGCCACTCCCCTCCCTGCCTCTGCACCTCATCCCTGGAGCATCCAAACCCCTGTTGTGTCCACTGCACCTGCTCAGGGCTGAGTTGGCTCAGGGATGCTTCTCTGTGAGCTTTCCCCTTCCCCACACACTAAAGCAGGGGCTCAGCGCCTTCTTATTTTACATATTTGTCTGCCTTTTGAACTTCGACTTACATTGTGGGCTCTTGAAGGGTGGGTTCGATGGGTCTCTTGTATGTAGAACTGGATGGGGGGGCAGACAATGAACTAAGACCCGGTGGCAGAATTAGGAATGTGAAGAGAAGCCGGCTCGCTCTTATGTCTGTTGACAGATCCATTTCCCACCAGCTGGGTGAGTCCACCTGAGCCTGCCAGGAGAGGTACACACAGCGGGTTCTGCGAGCCGCCATGGTGGGCTTCAGGTGGTCTACTGTCCCACATCAAGGGACCCAGGGGAGAGGCTTCTGACCTCCTAGCCAGCGTTCACATGGAGTGCTTTCAGGAAGGTAGGGATCAACTTACCTCTGCTGGTCAGCTGACAAGGGGTGTGCCTTGGCCAGGTGTGCCTTCTCACCCCAACTTCTGGGAGGCAGCTGATAGCTGCATAGGCATTTGTCACTGTAGGTCCACAGCTTCTGTGTAGTTAGATAAAACCTCCCAGGGGACAGAAGCAGGCTGGTGATGACTGTGTTCTTGACTGTTTCCTTGCTAGCCACTGCACAAGGCTATCGTCATAGCCTCACAGAACTCTGCTTGGAGGTGGGATTGGGGTCTTCCTTGTGGCTGAGACAAGCTTCTAGCTCTGCTGATTGACTGCTGTTCCTTTATTGTATTGTCCGACATCCGATGCAGGCTCTCTTAAGTAGGCAGGTGATGCCAAACAATTAAAAATGCTCACATTATACGGGGCAAGCAAAAATACTTCTGTGGGCTAATAATTTGCATTCAGTGCGAGAGTGTTTTAATGAATCACAAAAGCATGCACTTTGTTTGAATAAAAGAGCGTGGCTCCCCCCCGCCCCCCGCCCTTCCCAGGTAAAGTCCAGCTTTTGCTTAAATGAAGCGTGCAGTTTTAATCTGCTGGGCCCTTAAGAAGAAAGAAAAGCAGCTGCTACTTGTTAATTGAAAATATCTTCTCCAATGAGCTCATGACCCATTCGCTGCTTAAATAAAGACCTGAATTCCACTAAGGAAGGTGTTCTCACCGTCTTATCATACCTGGTCATATCTGCAGCCAGATTGATCCTCTTACGGAGTGAGACGGATGGCTTCCCAGAGCCCCTTCTGCCCTGTTCCTCCCAGGGTTTCTGAACCACTGAGTACATTGCATCCAGATCATCTTCCCCATGAGCTGGACAGTTTGATGTCTGCAGTTGTAACTCTTAGAGTAAGCACTACACTGTCAGATGCACCAGGGCCAAGGTCCGTCTGTTTTATATTAAGTTGCTCTTGCAGATGGCATTCCCCTGACCAGGCCTGCAAAGTCTCGAAGAGCTCCTGGTGGGAGGACTGGAACATGTTGCTCACCCTGGAATTTCCTGTCTGCTCTTCGTGACTCCTGCCTGGAGTGGGATTAGGAGTTGCTGTGTATGGCGGAGACGAGGCCTTTTCAGTTCGGTGCTGTGTCTTTGTGAAATTCACATCAGCAGATTTTCTATCTGGGTCTGGAATTCAGGTTTCCAGGCCTTTTTTTTTTTTTTTTTTTTTGTTTTTTTTGGAAAGGGTCTCCCTGTAGACCAGGTTGGCCTCAAACAGAGATCCCCCTGCCTCTGCCCCCAAACTTTAATCCTGAGGGATTAAAGGTGAGCCCCCCCCATACCTGGCGCCTTTGCCCTCTGAGCCACCCTGGCAGCCCAGGTCAACAGATTTTTCCAGGGCACAGTCAACATGGCTTCCCTGGAGATTTTCAGCCATCCTTTGCCTTCCTGTGGCTGCATCTTGGAAGGCTGAAGACTGCCGACCAAGCTGAGAAAGGGCTCTCCGAACTGACTCACGTTTTTGCTTCTTTTTTTCTTTTGGACTCAGCAAGTGAGGGTGATGAGAAACGGTGCTGCTCTCCTGCCTCTGTTCCCAGAATCCCCTGGGAAGCAGCGAGGACTCCTGGCAGAAAGGTTGACTATATGACATGTTTATTTTAGCTGTGTTAAAATTAAGCACCTAGATGCCTTGGTTTTTGTTCTAAACGGTACCCAAGCTCATAAGCATGAAATGAACTTGTTTTGTTTCCCAACATTTGCATGTGTGCCGAGCTTCCTGGTTAGGATGCACCAGGTAGCAGCCCCATCCAGAGCCCTCACTGTGCAAGTAAGGCAAATACCGCAGGGCAGAAGCAGTCTGTAGAGAGATGGGAGATGCTGCAGATGCTTCTAGAACTTCCTTGAAGAGCTGAAGTTCACTCACACTTACTAAAGATTTTTAGTCATTCACTTTTTTGGGGGGTGGAGGGGGAAATCACATTTATTTTTACTCTGTATTAAAAACTTGATAAGAATGGAAACGTATCATGAATTGGTCCGATACAGCAACACTTACTAAATACAGCCCTAGGTGGGACTGGCCATGAGTGCTCGTGCTACCCATCACTAATTGCTGACCGTGGACAGCTTAGCATTCATCAGACCCTGATTTTGTGACTTGGGGAATTTAAAAAGCATGTGTGAAGTCATATATGCACCTCATTAACAAGTTTGAATTTAGGATACTTTTCACATTTTGAAATTCTCTGGAAGTGAGATGAGTGTTTCATGCACAAATCTGTGTGACTTGCTTTTAGTAGCAGTTGAATTTTGAGTCACAGAAATGGACATTTTGGTGGATAACAGATTTCCACAGGCACATTCCTTCTTCCTCTTGGTGGGAAGAGGGGAAGGAAGGTGGTCTGTCAGGTTTGTTCATCTAAAGTATAGAGGATCACATGATGGGTGACTTTAGGTCCAGTTCAGTGTAGCCCGGAGTTCTCAACATTCTGGGTCTTGGGTCTGAGTACTTCCTGTGTGATGGCAGGCTGTCTTGTGGGCTGCAGGACACTAAGCCATGTCCTTGTCCCTCTCTGCTAGTTGCTAGTGGCACCCCCAAACTGTGACAATAGAAGGTTGTTAGACATTGCTCAATATCCTCGCTAGTATAAAACCCTGTCACCGTCCCTCTAGTAACATCCTTGGGCTGGGCAAGACCTTCCACAGAAGGAAAGAACAGCTAGGCCCTTGGCTTTGAAAGCTTATTACTTTCATTTGAATGAAGGCTTTGGTCTAAAAACACACGTGGAATGATGTCAGGGCATACAACAGCCGAAAGACAAGCTTTCACAGCTTGGTAAGCTCTAGAAGACAAGATGGTTCTGAAACAATTTTAAGTTGATGTCTACTGAATTCTACATGAAAAGACAAAGGGGTACAACTATTCTGACCCGAAATGCTCCCAGGTTTACACCACCAAGTTTGCTTGGCACATTTGACACCTTGTGAGGAGATAAGAGCAACCCGGCTCCCCTGCCTGGGGCCAGAACTTGGCCTTCACAATGAACAGGAACAGAGCCGTGGACTGGCCTCTCCAGGCTGCCCATGAGAGGGAGTGTTGCGGGGGTGGCAGGGTGAGTACTGGAAGACAGTCCAGGTGCAGAGCTGTGAGATGGGTTGTGCAGGCACTGGCTATGCTCCCTTACAATGTAGAATTGTAAGTAACGGGCTGAAGGTGGGTTATAATGTAAATCAGCAATGGGGGCCTCATTATCATTTTCTGGGGAACCCTGTGACTAGCAAACTAGATTGATTGTCTAATGATATTGCTTAGATCAGGAACTACAGACTGAGGTCAGGCGGACTTTGCAAGCATGGAGGATGGCTGGGCATGACAGGACGCAAGGGAATGAGGGAACACTGTAGCAGACGGCAGCTGCCGTGCTCTTTCTTCAGCCACATGTGCTGGACATGTGTGATGTGCCAGGGGCTATTACAACTGTTTCGTTTTTAGACCCTTGATGCACACTCACGCTAGTTTAAGAAATTCGAACGGCATGGGATGCGGAAGAAGCAAAAGCACGGACTAATGGCTGGACGATCAGCAGCTTCCTGTGGCTGACTGTGCTGCTGTTGCTGCTGTTGCTCTGCCTCGTCCTCATCACCACGGGGTTGGTGTGGATGGTCCCCGTCCCAGTCACCACCTGTCCCCATTCCTCTGTTTTTTGTCCCTACTGTTCTCTCCTTGACAGACTGTCATTTCCCTTGGAGGATCTTCTCCCAAGTTCCTCACGTCCCTGTGGGTATGAATGAACCCACAAACTGGCCTACAAACTCAGGGAGTCAAAGTCAGCATATGCACCATATTTCTGGGAAGAACTAAAATTGTCAAAATCAAATGCTAAAGCAGTGTGTCCTTTGTTGTTCAAGTATTTTAGCCACTCTGGCAAATAAAACCAACATGCATGACAGTGGCTGGGATTTCCTCGCTCATAAAGAAACATTTGTTAAGCCTTAGGACATCCTGAAGGCTTATTCAGATACGAACACTCACAAAATGTTACCTTATAACTTGAAAATATATCGAGTCTTTGGGTCAGTGTAAAGTTTCTCTTAACATTTGAAAAGCAGGTCTTTTTCAGTAAAGGAAGCAGTTGTGTAGGAAATGTTAGCCCCACTGACAGGGGCAGCCCGTGCCTTCCTGGAAGAGAGCATGAATGTCCGTCCAAGGCCACAGGAGGAGAATGAATTGTCCTTCGTTGCCCCCTGCATGACTGCTTTCCATCTGATTTCTGCAGGGGAGCCCTTAAGTAGCGAGCACTTTCATCGAGCTGTCAGTGTGAACGATGAAGATTTGCTCCTTCGAATGCTTGAAGGAGGGTGAGAACTTGGCTAGCTTTTGTTTCTTCCTTTCTTTCACTGCCCACCAAACATGTAGACATACATGACATAGCTTTACTCTGTACCCCTCCAATCCCCCATGCCACTGAAAGTCCCTCTCAAATTTATCTCAGGTGACCAAACTTAGTAAATAAAGATGGTCATAAAGACCCATGCGAGATGCAGTTAGTGGTTATTTGATGAAAACTGTAAAAGGGAATCTCAGGTCCAGGCATCATAATTTATTCCTAGAAACGAGTGCTGTCCCTTGCTTATCTGTCTCAGCGCTTAGCACACGTCACTGGGAATGCCTGCATATAAGTACACAGGAAGCTAGGGAATCTGAACCAGTTGTGGGGGATGCCAGATGCTTGCTAGGTCCCTAAAGAAATGTGATGGACAGCCACCACCCACGTGCAGGGACAGTGTCTAGATTTCTTCTGGAGTGCAGTTTCATTTGCCTCAGAAGACAAGTGGTTTGTGAGCTGGGGCTTGGCGAGCTGGAGACGGGGCTCCACAGAACAGCAGTGAGAGGCTGTGCCTGGTTTCCTGAGCAGCATGTAGCCAGTAGCTGAGGTGTAAGCTGAGGCTAAACCCCAGGTCTCCACAGATTCTACTACTGCTTGGTGGAAACAGGCACCGCGCTAACACGGCCCTCAGTTCGTGCCAGAAGGCTGTGCTGGCTGCAGAGGTAGGATTGCACAATGGTTTTGAGTTGACGGGAACACCTATTTCAGGGAAAACGACCCTTTTCTTAAAACTCAAATCTTTAAAAAATATTAGGGCATTGGCATAATATCTTAATGGCCCAGGAGAGATTGAGATTTTTGGTAAAATGAACCTTTATAGCCCTTCTGGGCCCTTCAAAGAGCCATCACCCAAGGGAGCTTGCTGTGCATGTTAACCTCTTTTCTCTGTTTTCCCAAGCCATGTAAAGATTGACGTGCCCAATAAGTTTGGCTTTACTGCCCTCATGGTCGCTGCTCAGAAAGGCTACACCAGGTATGGTGCTTCCTAGCTGCTGTCCAAGTGAGTGGTAAAATTTCCCTTTCCCAAGGCTGTGGTCAGGAGGTAGAGGCTTTTTCCTCTTCCCCACACTGTCTCATGTCCTGGCTTCCAAATTCAGTGGCCTGTGTCATGGGATTAGACTGTACACAGGAAGTTTTCTGTTCCAGTCGCACATGTACTGTGTGTGTCTGGGGAACAGTGGTGATTGGGATCTGAATTTCTTTAAATATAAAAGGTGAATGAGGGACATTCTGGGTAACAGACTTCTCCTTGAAGGCATCAACCTTTGATTCGATGCTGTGCCCCATTATCTGTTCCACAGCGTTAGTTATAAGTGATAACGTCCTATTTTTCAATTATATTTTAATTGTATAATGTTGTTTTGACAAATAATAGAGCAGTGCTTTCATTTAAATGTTGCCATTTGATCATACATTAAACATGGCCATTAAGATGACAATGAACTGCTTTTGGCAGACCAGTTTGTACCACATGGGCAAGGTTGAGTTTAATGAATGATTCATGGGAGACTGAGGCCCCATTTTGGGTGGGGAGCAGTTGGTTTCCAGTGTTTAGGGCTCTGTCTTTAGAGTTGTAGAGTAGAGGAAGGCATTGCAAAGTAGTCTTCAAAGCGATTTATCTGGCTACTTTTACCATTGTTTCCTTCAGGCTTGTAAAGATCCTTGTTTCTAACGGCACAGATGTGAATCTGAAGAACGGAAGTGGCAAGGACAGGTAGGAGCTGGGAGGCCCCGTGGGGCTGCACAGCCACCTGTCTCACTAGGCTGGGCCCACAGTGGGTTTTACCTAACTCTCACATTTTTTCAGTTTATTTTGAAAGTCCTGAGAGGTGGTGGGTCTCATCAGAAAGATGCAGGTGACCAAAGCTGGCTTGTGCATGTAAGGCTTCATTTATCAGAGGCATCAGTTACAACCTGTCTAACCTCCAGCTCAGTAACTGCTAGCTATTAAGGTGGGCACCATCAGCTCTGCACTGGGCACATGGGTCATAAGTGCCTGCCTTGGGCACTTGGTTTCTTTTGGGACTCTTGATACATTTCAGACTATCTCTACTGCTCAAGAAACCCGGGTGTTTATAAAGAAGCATCCAGAAGTCAGAATCAGACCCTACTGTGGAACTTTCCTGAGGTTTCTACCATGCGAGCTGGGGGCATATCAGAGAGAAGGCATGGGAAGAGCTTGTGTTCAGTTGTAGGGATGTTGTGCAAGATTTAAATGCTGTCTAATTAAATTAGATCTAATTAATTCAACACAGCCAATATTAATTAAATGACTACCACATACCAGGCACCGTGCTTGGTCTTGGGTTAAACAGGGAGGAGAAAGTGAAGCCATTCCTCAGGAGGCTGTGGACACACGAGGCGCACACACTAAAAGCTTGAGCACTGCATGCACCAGCTGAGATCATTTGCCACATTTTGTGTGTTGGTGCCTATTTGTGTGGATGTGCATTAGTGTGGAGGCTACCATTTCACTTAAGGATTTTCTTCAGGAGATATCTGTGTTGCTTTTTAAAAGAAATTTTAGGTGTGTGAGTGTTTATATGTATATCTGCATATATGTATGTGCACCACATGTGTGCAATGCCCACAGAGGCTGGAAGAGGGCAATGCATCCCTGGAACTGGATTTATAGATGGTTGGTTGTTAGCCACCATGTGGATGCTGAGAACCAAATCCAGATCCTCTGTAAGAGCAGCCAGTGTTTTTAACCACTGGAAAATCTTTCCAGTTTTCTTCCCGCCCCGCCCCTTGTTTTTTGAGACAAGGTCTCTCATTAGCCTCTAGTTTGCTGATCCAACAAGGCTGGCTGACCATCAAATTCCATTGCTGCTCCTGGTTCCACTTCCTCACCCAGCACTGCAGATATAGGTATATGATTCACACCCATATTTTTACACAGTGGTAGGGAATCTTAACTCAAGTTCTCACATTTGCTCAGCAAACACTTCATCTACTGAGCCATTTCCCCAGCTCAAAATATGAGTTTCTAAAACCAGAAAGCCCATTCGCCTTGCTCTCTGGGCACTGTGCAGTGACAGATAATATTTAAACACAAATTTCAAAAGTATTTTCTAAATGACTCTTAGACTAATTTGGAGCTATGCCATCAACTCAAGAAGTTTGAAAAGAATGTCAGTTTACAAAGGAAAAATGTAAAAAAAGTGGAAAACAGGAAATATTTGAAAGAGAGCTAGAAATTGATTAATCAAAACATGAAAGCTAATTGAGAAACGTAGAAGTTACCTCTTAACCAAAACCAGCATGGCCAACCAATCTCTTGTGCACCAAAGAGAAATAAAATGGGAGCCTGGAAAGAGACTGAGCAGTGCTTACAGAGGATGTTTGAAAACGAGAAGAAAATGATGCTTTGGGTCTAGTAATAGATTTGATAATTTTGTAGAAATGGATACTTTTTAGGGAAACTTGAAGCCATCAGAATCAACCCAAGAAGCAGAAAATCTAAAACAAACAATATTCATGCAAGAAATTAGGAACTGTCTTCAGGCATCTCCTCCAGGAGGGCATAGCTTGACTCTCCTGCTGTGGACTTCAGATTTTGTATGCACCAGTAACTAACCTGGAGCTTCTCCACAGCAAAGAGAAGCTGAAAATCCACAGAGCATAACGTTATTGGCAAAAACAGCAGGAGAAGGATTGGGGCCGCCACTTAGTGGAGAGTGTTAGCCTGGCGCGTACAAATCCCTGGGTTCAGTGTCCTCTACTGAAATAAAGAGGCAGCAAGTCATCTCTATGTTTCCATCTATAAACCCCTTCTCTCCCAGTCAGAAAGGTATTTAGGAAGGTAAGGAAAATTTGCATTAGGAAATTTCCAATATAACACTTTGTCCTTAGTAGATTAAAGGTAGAGATAAAGCTTAGGTGTCTGTCAGATGAGGAAAATGTGTACACAAAGCAGTGTTTTCTTCAGTCACGAAGCAAAATGAAGTTATGCCTTTGGCTGGAGAAAGGAGGCAACTGGAGATGACCATAGTAAGTGAAATAAGATGATTCAGACAAATGTTGCATGCTTTATCTTATTTGTGGACCCTAGATTTTATGTAGATATATAAAGCCACTCATTTATAGATGGCATGAACACAGAAGGAGGCAGGGGAGAGGAAGGGAGACCAGTTGGAGTAGGGGAGGAGGAGGGAGTGAGGGGATGTGTTGGTGCGTGTGGTCAGAATCCAGAAAGATGCACTTGTATCAAGTTGTCTTTATGAAACCCAACATTAAATATGATGAATATGTATCAGTTAAAAATATTTTAGGGCTGGGGAGAAGGCTTGATGGGTACAGTGTTGCTGCTGTGTGTAAGGACCTGACTTCGGTTCCCTGGAACCCCCATAAAAAGCCGGGGATGGGGCTGGAGAGATGGCTTAGCGGTTAAGGGCACTGACTGCTCTTGCAGAGGACCCAGGTTTAATTCCCAGCACCCACATGGTGGCTACTAACCGTCCTTAACTCCAGTTCCAGGGGAATCCGAAGCCCTCTTCTGACTTCCATGGTATTGCACAACACGGGTACAGTCACATACATGCAGGCAATACACTCAGACACATAAAATAAAAATAATAAATATATATATAAAAAGTTAGGGATGGCTCCATGGACCTGTAACCCCAGGGCTGGAAGTGGATGGAGACAGGAGGGTCCCTGGGACTTGCTGGCTGCCAGCGTAGCTCCAGGTTATACTCAATAAGGCGGAGAGTGATAGAGCAGGACAGCTGAAGTCTGGCTGTGCGTGCCAGCACACGCGTGTATTACCACAGACACACTTGCAGCCTTTGGACACTGGCAAAGAGGGAGCAGGAAGCACGCGTTGATAGTGAAGCATACAAAGGCTTTTGTTGTTTGTTTGAGGCGGGGGTCTCAGTGTGCAGTCCAGGCTGGCCTTGAACTCACATTCCTCCTACCTCGGCCTCTGGGAGAGCCGGGATTATAGCATGTGCAGCCTTGCCCAGCACCACACAGTGTTTTCCTTTTAAAAAATCATTGCAGACAATCATTCGATGTCATTTTTTAGCACTGGTAAGTTCCTTTTCTGAGTTTGTAGAGAATCCTGGTGGTAGGGGTGGAGGTGGGCATGGGGTAAGGGGTGAGGAGGGTCAAGAGTAGAGCAGCAGCAGAGAACTTGATGTTAAACCCTGATGCCATCACAGACACAGTGTGTCACCTTGGACAGCTACTTGAGTAGGCTTCTCTCCCTGTGCCATGGGGTTATTGCGAACACTTAACGAGTCAGTATATGAGAAATGTGTGAAACAGGCCTGGCCTATGGGGGATGCAGGCTATATTTTATTATTTCCTGATTGGACAGCATTTTGGAAGAAATGGAGTAAGAGTCAGGATTCCTGACCTGCAGAATTCAAGAGAAACAACTTGAACTTAAAATACTTGACCTCAGTAAGGACTGGTCAGCAAATAGACAATTGAAAACAAATCTGTAATAAGTGGTTAATAAAATGGAAAAAAATGGAGTAGAGTAAAAGAATCTTTAAAAAGTAAATCCTGTGACAAATATGTCTACAAAGCTATGCTGAGAGATAGAAATATTTAAAAAATAGAGATATATGGGTACTTCAGAATGGTGAGACTGTTATACCATTTTCCACTTTTCCCAAACTAGCATATAGACTGAATGTAGCCTCAAATGGAATTATTCTTAGGAACCTGTCAGAATGATTGTAATTTATCTGAGAGAACAAATAGATGGTAATAGATACTAAAACTTTGTCAAAGATGACTGTGGGACAGTTATAAAAATGCCTTAAAAGTTAAACTAATTAAAGTAGTGCGATATTGGTGCAAAAGACTGGAAAAAAGAAATAGAACAGACATCTTAAAATAGGTGCCATGTATATGAAAACTTAATGTATGATGATGCAGGCAGCACAGGCCCATGGAGCAGGTGTTGGAAATAGGCTGTTTGGGGAAAAAAAAAAAAAAAAAAACTGAGTTAGATCTTGCTCTTAAAGCAAGTACCAAAATAAATTCCAGGAGAATGAAGAATTACATGTAAAAAAAATAAAATCCCACTAGAAAGCAGGAGTGTACTCATCTGATCTTGTAATGTAAAAGGCGTAAAAAGCATGGAAGAGCTCACGGAAGAGGAGAAGTGTACATCCTGTGACCTTAAACATGCGCAGAGTTAAGGGCTGTGTGAGGAACACCAGGGATCATGTTACACACAGAGGCCCAGCATCTCCAACACAGAAGACTCACGTGCCACGTCCACACCCAGGACCAGGTCACCGAGCACAGCAGGAACAAAGGAGCAATCCACACAAGAGAACTGACAGGAGACGACATGAGCAATTCATAAGAAGCGTGCTTAGTTTGCTGGAATAAAGATGCCACCTGTGAGGCTGGTGATTAGAAGTCAGTTAACTGCTTGCCTGCTTTGTGGGACTCCTTTGATCAAGGCGGAGTGAGATGGAGATTTTCCAGTTAGGGTCGGAGGGAGGCACAGGGCACGCAGGCCAGCGCACAGCTCACGGTGGGGTCTTTGGTGCAAGTGTACATGAGAATTTTAGCACCCATATTCTTTTCCTTTTTTTTGAGACAGGGTCTCCCTGTAGCCCCAGCTGGCCTGAACTTGATATGTAGACCAGGCTGGCCTCGAACTCAGAGTGTGAGCCTCTGCCTCCCAAGTGCTGAGATTAAAGGTGTGCACCACCACGCCTGGCTCCTTCTCATTTTATATGAAACACATATTTATTTATGTAAGGTGAGAAAGGACACTGGAGAAGGGAAGGGGTGTGGGGAATGCTCAGAGTACAATGAGCCAATAGAAAAATCTATAAGAACTGGGCGTGGTGGCGCATGCCTTTAATCCCAGCACTCGGGAGGCAGAGGCAGGCGGATCCCTGTGAGTTCAAGGCCAGCCTGGTCTACATAGTGAGTTCCAGGACAGCTGGGGCTACAGGGAGACCCTGTCTCTAAAAGACCAAAAAATAAAAATATCTATAAGGAAGCAGGGGCTTAGCTCAGTGGTAGAGCACCTGCCTAGCAAGTGCAAGGCCCTGGGTTGGGGCCTCAGCTCCGAGGGAAAAAAAAAAAAAAAAAAAGACAATAAAAAAGTCCAGAGGAAGCCAGGGCCACTGACACGAAGATTCCACTTTAAATTTTTTAAAAGTTTCTTATTTTATGTGTATAAGTGTTTCTCATACATGTATGTTAGTGCACCAATATTGTGTAGTGCCCTTGGAGGCCAAACGAGGGCATCAGATCCCCAGGAACTGGAGTTACGGATGGTTGTTAGCTGCCATATGGGTGCTGGGAACCAAACCCAGGTCCTCTGCAAGAGCAGCCAGTGCTCTTAACCCCTGAGTCATCTCTCCAGCCTCATTTAAGAATTCCACACCCAGAAACAGAAGTGTAATTATGATTCAACATAATCAGGCGTTGGCTGCAGTGTTACCCACCGTGACAGAGACTTTGAAGGAGCCCAGTGTCCTTGTGGGGTCATTCTGGATCTGTTTCCTACCGCTTTTTTCCTTCCATTTTATTTCCCAATATTTATTTCCAATATTTATAGGAAAATATTCAAAATTTGGAAAAGATGGAAGGATAGCACAGCAACACGTTTGGTTGCCATTGATGCTGGCAGGTGCTGGCATTGGCCATATTTGTAGATAGAAGATGTCTACCCGCCCCCCCCGCCCCCAGCTTCAGAGTGAATGGCAGAGTGAACCTTGCTTCAGTAGACATCCCTGAAGACCAGGTCATCAGTCCCACAGCAGCCATCATGCCACACATGGGACACTGCCTATCAATTCCCCATTGTAACTGGTACCCAGCTGCCCGTCTAGGCCTCCCACTTACCACCCTTAGTTCTGTTTGGGGCAGGGGCTGGGCATTCCAGGATGCAGTTGAGGCCCAACCATTGTACCTGGTAGTTCTTCGTCTGTGTTTCTCTTCATTGGAGACCAGTTCTCTTCCCCCTTCCACTCGCGCTCTGCCCCCTTTGCGCTCTCTCTCCCTTCCCCCTTTTGCTATCTCTCTCTCCCCTCAGCTCGCTCTCCTTCCACCCTTCCACCCCTTTCCCTCCCTCCCTCCTGATAGCAGTGATGTCTGAGAAGGCTCATTACCTTGCAGCATGCCCTGATGTGGGTTTGCCTTGTAATCTCCTAGTCGTGGAGAGGCATCTAACTTGCACATCTAACCCTTTATTTCCAGTGAGGTTTAAGTTTGAGGCCTGGCTAGGCAGAGGTGCCATCTTCAGTAGGACCTACAAGGCTGGTTTTGGGACCGTGTGACAGCTATGGAGGCCTGTACTGTCAGGTTCCCATTGGTAGAGATTCCAGGTTTGACTCTGGTGATGGTGAGGCCAGTTATCTTTGTAAAATTACAGTTTCCCCATGGCAACTAGAAAATGATCGACAGGTAATAAGACATATGATGTGAATGAACCAGTCCTATTAACATCTCACCAGTCCAGCATGGATGAACATGTATGGATAAAGCACGTTGTAGCTTTTGCACTCTAATTATGACTTCTTGGTTTAAGTTGTGTGGGCAGACTCTGGACCCGAGGTTGGTCATGGCACCTACAGTTGATCTTGCTGCTGTGTGTTGCAGTCTAATGCTCGCATGCTACGCAGGACACTTAGATGTTGTGAAATACCTGCGGAGACATGGAGCTTCTTGGGAGGCTAGAGACCTGGGAGGCTGCACGGCTCTGCACTGGGCTGCGGATGGAGGCCACTGCTCTGTGATTGACTGGATGATAAAGGATGGCTGTGAGGTACGACTTTCCCTGTTAACCACAGCACACTGGGGAGATGCTGAACCCCTTCCCTGTGGTCTGGGAGAAGCAGGGCCAGCCAGGAAGGGTCTCTGGTTTATCTCTAGAAAGGGCTTGGAGAAGGAGATCTGTAGAGGACTGACTTGATTGTGGGGCCTCATCTTGTTATGGGAGGAAGGGGAATCGGGCTCAGCTCAGAGCGGGCCTGACACTTCTTGTTTTCTGTTGCTGTGATAAAACACCATGACCAAGGAAACTTACAGAAGGAAGAGTTTATTTGGCTTATGGTACTGGAGGGATAAGAGTCCATGGTGGTGGGGAGGCATGGTGGCAGATGTGCCTGGAGCAGACATCTGAGAGCTCACATCCTAAATGGCAAACAGGAAGCAGAGAGGGCAAAGGGGGTGGGATGAGGCTATGAACTCTCAGAGCTCCCTGCCTCCAGCAAGGCCACACCTCCCAGAGGTTCCCTGGCCCTCCTCAAACAGCGCCACCAAGTGTCCAAGTGTTCAGGTGCTTGAGCCTATGGCATCACCTTTCATTCAAACCACCGCCCTTCCCTGTTTCTTCATTTCCTGGCCTGGGTCTGGGTCAGTTTAGTTTGTCATCGAAGCCTTACTGAGCATCTGCAAAGGGCTAGAGCCACAGAGATGCACACAGGTCTTATGGTTTCTTGTTACTTTTAAAGTTAGATTATTTTCATTCTTGGTGTGTGTGTGTGTGTGTGCACACGTTCATGTGTGTGCAGATGCATGTGTACATGTGTGTTTGATGCTGTGTGTCATGTATGTGTGTGCATGTGTGTGGATGTGGAGGCTGGAGGTTGGTGTCCAGTGTCTTCCTCATTGCTCGCTACCTTAGTTTTTGAACCTGGAGCTCACTGGTTCGACTAGCATGGCTGGCCAGCGGGCCCTGGGGCTCCCCCATCTTGGGCTCCCCAACATTGGGATTATAGGCACACACTGCTGACCTGGCTTTCACGTGGTGCTGGGGCTCAAGCTCGACTTCTCATGCTGAGCAGTTGAGCTACCCCTTCAGTCCCTTTTCTTGGCTTGCTTTGAGTCGGAATCAGGAGGCGTTTCCACAGGGCTGACAGGTGTAGCTGTCTCCCAAGAACCAGGTAGGCAGAGCTGCTTTGCTTTTTGTGACACTGGGTAGTACAATTCTGGCTTGCATGTAGAAGTCTGGTTGTTTGGACTTGTGTTGAAGAAAGTTAATTACAATTGGTTAAATTATTTTAACTGTGGAAAACTTTGAAAACTAAGTTTTTCAAAGTCTTAGACTAAAAGTTTCAAGATACAGACGTGAAGGACCACAGGCTGAGCTGTGGTTGCGAGGCAGTCCAGTCTTAGGATGTCAGACCAATAACTGGGCTCGTCAGTCACACTGAGGACAGTCAGGTCTCCCAGAAGATGTCAGTAGGTGTGTGTCATCTCTGAAGTGTGAGAGAATGGAAAACACGACTTCTTCCATAGACCAGACTGGCTCCCGCTGCTCTGAGAACAGAGAGGTGTAAACTTGAAGGACAAATTCCCAGTCGTTAAGATAATTCCATTTTACTGCATTTCTTGTTTCCTTATGTCTGAGAGATGTGTGAGAGGTCAGTGGGCTCACGGGGAGAGCTGTGTGGGGCTTCCAGGGCACTAAAAGTGTGTGTAATCAGGCAGGTCTCTGATATGAACAGTGAACTCTCGAATTTTGAAGTGTGAGTGCCCTGGGCTTCAGATGGAAATGGAACCATTTAGGATAAATTCCACCTTCATCTGTAGCCCAGGGGCCAGGTTGCAGAGGACAGACCCATAACATGTGTGGGTCTCCTGATGATGGCTGTGTGGCTTACTGTGGGTACGGATGATGGTAACTGACTATGTTGCTAGGAGATGGCTCACCTAGCACTTTTGAAGACCCTGAGAAGCCAGGCAGATACTACCACCCTCTTCCCAGATGTAAGAATCTTGTGCTGAGGGTGACATATTTCCCTTAATGGGGAGCTATCTGTGCATTTGATGAGTCATGTGGTCTGGGGAAAGGTACTGGACTGCTGGGTGAGATTTGGTCTGAGCATTTCTAAACTGGTAATAAAAATGTATGCTTGAATAAAAATACACACTCCTCCTTAACCCTCAGGACTGAACAGGAAATGAATGTGGAAGTGTTTTGGAAACTATAAAGCCTCTTGCAGTAGTGGGTGATTATTTTACTGTTATTCCAACACAGCGGAGCTTCTGCTCGTAGGTGGATTATCTGCATGAAGAAGAGTGGTAAATAACCAGGACGTGCTGGCCCCTGGCACTCTGTTCTGCTGGTTCAATGCAGCAGTGGGTCATCTGTGAAGAATTGTGTGTGCATCTGTTCAGAGTGTGTGCATGCGTGTGTGCATGCACTCTCACCATGTTCATCTTCACTGAGTTCTGTTCCTCATGGTCTGTGCAGGCCTTCACTAGACTTGGGACATGTGCTGTTCACATTTCCCTATTTTTTAAAATTTTGTGTGTATGAGTGTATTGCCTGTATGTATGCAAGTGTACCTGTGCTGTGCAGTGCCTACAGAGGTCAGAGGAGGGTGTCAGATCCCTTGGACCTGGAGATATGGATGGTTGCTAGCTCATGTAGGTACTGGGAATCGAATTCAGGTCCTCTGCAAGAGCAGCCAGTGCTCTTAACTGCTGAGCCTTCTCTCCAGCCCCACATTTTCTTAATCTACACTTTAAAAAAAACCACTAAATTGAGGGAGTTGGTTGTAGAGTTGGTTATTAGGCAAAAACCATCTCACTACTGGACACTACATATTTGGGTGTGAAGCAGTTAGTTTGTGTTATGGTTCTGGCACCAGGTATGAACTCCTGGTTAGTCTGTGTGATGGCTCTTCCTGGTGTCAGGTGTGAACTCCTGGTTAGAGTGTGTGATGGCTCTTCCTGGTGTAGGTGTGAACTCCTTGGTTAGTTGTGTGATGGCTCTTCCTGGTGTCAGGTGTGAACTCCTGGTAGGTCTGTGTGATGGCTCTTCCTGGTGTAGGTGTGAACTCCTTGGTTAGTTGTGTGATGGCTCTTCTGGTGTCAGGTGTGAACTCCTTGGTTAGTTGTGTGGTAGGTTTGGTCCTTTGGGTTTACTGCAGGTCTCCTTCCCCAAGTTGATAAGCATTGTGAAGGACAAGCTTGGGTCTGTGTCATCACCATCCCATTGCAGACAGAATTTCAAGCACTGGGAAAGTTAACAAGGAAAACAGAAAACAGCTGAGAGAAGTGAGGAATGCATAGGCCTGGGTCTCTTCCTGACCTGTCTTGTTTCCACTTTAACAGTGAAGATGAGCTTCCCAGTGAGGAGTCCCTGGGGTGTCTCAGTGGTGGTTGGGGGAGGCTCATGAGACCCCAGCATGTCCCCTCACTGCACACAGACATGCACTGGGCAAGCTCCATCCAGTTGACTCTACCATGTCTAGAGAATCTGGCAGCCCTGGGAGGGCACTTGATCCTTTTATGTCCACAGGAAGGTGGCTGGACTGAGGCAGCTGTTCCTCTGGCACCACAGGTGGATGTTGTGGACGCTGGTTCGGGGTGGACACCGCTCATGAGAGTCTCTGCTGTGACGGGAAGCCAGAAGGTGGCATCACTCCTCATCGAGGCTGGGGCAGACGTGAACGTGAGGGACAAAACTGGGAAGACGCCTCTCATGGTACGCCCTTCTCCACAGGGTCTCAACTTTGCTACAACTAGACATCCCTGTGAGTTCAGTCATGGGCACCTGAGCTCTGGGTTTGGGCTGCATAGTACTCCTTGTGACACAGAGTATTCCTAATAAGCACAAGGTCACTGCAGTGTCTATCTGAAATGAGTCTTACTGTGGTTGCTCTTGCTGGCCTCAAACTCTTGGACTCCTGAGATCCTCCCCTTTGGCCTCTGAGTAGCTGGGATCACAGGTGCATGTTCCTGGGCCCAGCACTGTAATACTGTGTTGTTTTCACACCGACCCTTTTAGACACTGTTAACCCCAGTTCCCAGGACTGTTTTAGGATCAAAACAGATCTGTCCAAACAGTGAACACGCTGCCTGTCTGGCCTGGCCTGGCCTTTCCTGTGTCATTTAGTGTGGGCATTTAGTGTGACACCTGCTGGGGTCTCACAGCCAGCAGGACACAGGCCTGAGCTGGCCAGGGCTGGCTCTGCCTCTAGGGGGTGCCTCAGGCCGCCTGCGCCCCCTGCTGGAGGGACGCGCTCTTCACACTGCTCTTGTGTTTTCAGGTGGCTGTGCTAAATAATCACGAACACTTAGTCCAGTTACTCCTCGACAAAGGGGCAGATGCAGGTGTGAAAAATGAGGTAAGTCACCGAATATTTATTGGAAGATTTCCTTTAGAGGAGAAAGAAATGTATGAAATTATGTTTTCTGATTTGCGGTCCAACAATTTTTGTTCCCTCCTTCAGTTTGGCAAAGGAGTCCTAGAAATGGCCAGAGTTTTTGACAGACAGGTAGGGACTTTCTTTCTATCAAAGCTGATTTTGTGCCTCTTTCAGATTTGCAGAACCCACCCAAACCTTGAAGGACATCCACCTGTTTATTGTGTTTTTCTAGAATGTACTCTTCTTACTAGAAGAAAGGAAAAGAAAACCGCCCAGGAAGTCCTCTGTCCATTGACCAGAGCACCGCCCTTCTGCAATGCCTGAGCAGAACCAAACCGTGCCTGCTGGGCTGGACATACCACACGTGTGTCTCTGAGGGCTGAAGGTTTATTTAGTTGGAAATTCACAGGGACTTTTATGTAACAGGCAACTGTTCCCACATTGAAATGCATCTTTTTACCTAAGCACGTGCGTATGTGGTCTCGTCACTGGGCGTCTCTAGAACAGGGATGTTCTCTTTCCCGTGTGCCTTTAGAGTCAGACATGAAACAAAATATTTATGCACTGGAGCTACATAAACACGCACAGGTGCCCCGTTCTGCCTCCTGCCTCCGAGTTGTCCTCAAGCCGCTCCAGGCCCGTCCCCTCATGTGTTTCTTATTATCCGAGCCCGCCCTACTGCAGGCCAGGCGGCTGCCAGGCTGCCGTTGCCTCCCGCGGTGGACTCCTCCTAAGCACCCAGGAGTTTTCTCGTAGGCTCTTGGCCTCACATCAAAGCTCAAAATACGTGTCAGAAGACCTGTGCTGTTGTGTTAGCAGTGTTCGGTCAAGGGTCAGTGTTGGCAGAACAGGCCCATCTGTGTGTGTGTGTTTGCATGTGCTTGCCTCCACAGTGACTGGATGGCCTCCCCAATGAGGAGCATATGAAATTGAGTTTTCAGAGTAGACAAGATTTTTGAGGCTGATCATGCAATTTGTAGACAAGGAGGGGTTAACCTCCTTGTCTGGTTAGGACAAGGTTAGGAGCTTAATGATGGAAACATGGGAAGCTTTAGCTCCCCAAATCTTAAACATCTGCAAAGAACCTAGCAGACCACATTTTGCATCTCCAGAGACAAACTCATTCGCTTGGACTGCAAGCAAAGCAGCTACAAAGGTCCACACAAGACTGGCGTTTTCTCACGAGGGAAGGACCAATTAAAAGGGAATCAAGAGCTCCAGTGCTTTTGGGGAAAGGCGGAGAGAAAATGCACATGGTCAGATTGATGTTGACAGTCTTCACCTTCTACAGAATTCAGACTATTCACTTAAGGAACTGGATCTGTGGGCTGTATGTAATCCTGTGTGTAGACATTACATTGGCATGATACCCTTTGATTACGTGCATATCCCCCCTCCTCATGATCAATGTTGACACCCACCTTAATGTCCTCTCTGTCTGTTGCAGATGGTACTCACCAGCCACCCTACGGAAGGAGTGCTCCTCAGTCCCTTCTTGCTAGCATCAAGCCTGGTGAAGATGTTGGTTCTCTGGACTCAGCACAGAACCACCCTTGCCTTCCTGAGATGGTCTTACTGGGTTCTGGTGGGTCGCTGGGTCTGCAAGCTCAGAGCAATGCCTGTCTATTCCCTTTTTGCTTAAAGAGTGAAACTATAGTTTGTATCCTGTTTAATTTTTCCTCAGAGTAACTCACAACTCTCTATATTTTTTAATTTTACTTTAATTGTATGTGTACAATTTTACAATTGTAAATGTAAATGTGTCATGCAATGACTAAAGAGGTCAGAAGAGGGTGTAGGATCCCCTAGAACTGGAGTTACAGATGGTTGTTAGCTGCCATGTGGGTGCTGAGACTTGAACCCAGGTCTTCTACAAGAGTAGCCAGTGATCCACTGATCCAGCTGATCCACCTCTCCAGCCCCATAATTCTATTTTTCTGATTCATCAACTTACACTATTTTTTTTTCTTTTGTCTTTTTGAGACAGGATCTCCTTGTAGCCCCAGCTGTCCTGGAACTTGCTATGTAGACCAGGCTGGCCTTGAACTCACAAAGATCTGCCTGCCTCTGCCTCCCAAGTGCTGGGATTAAAGGTGTGCACCACCACGCCTGGCAACTTACACTATTTTTACAAATTCTGTTTTTGTGTTTTTACCTAAGTTTATTTTGTTTCTTTATAAGTTCCCATTACAGATACTAAGTTCACTCATTTCACTGTTTGTGTTTGGCTGTGAATTTTCCCTTCTGTGTTTCTTTAATTGTATTACCTTTAGGAGGTTGTTTTTCTGGTCTTTTTAAGACAGGGTCTCGCTGTAGCCCCAGCTCACCTGGAACTCACTATGTAGACCAGGCAGGTCTTGAACTCACAGAGATCTGCCTGCCTCTGCCTCCGGAGTGCTGGGACTAAAGGCGTGCACCACCACGCCCGGCTTAGAAAATTTTTTCTAAACCTTCCTGGTCCCAAGATGTAATTGGAGGTCCTTGTTAACTACTTTTGTGGGCAAACCCTCTGAATTGGAATATCCAGGAAGAGGACATAGGAATGGATTTTAACAAGAACAGGTGAGTTTTTCTAATTGGAAAGTTTGAGAAACATCCAGAGCGTATGCTATTCCAGGGTTAGAGTTGCTATTTCTAGCAGACTATACCTCTTTGAAGAATGGCCATGTTTCTAGGGCATGGGGCCGCTCTGTCGTCCTCCCACTGCCCCCCTTCCCATTACCCAGGACGGGGAGCAAGCCTGCCTTTCCCCACTCTTCTCAGTTTCACGGACTTGGAAATTTTCTTATGAGAAGCCAGGTCCGGTTTTCTACACACGGCCTTCTTATTTTTATATTGGTAACTGTTTTCTAAAACAAATGAGACATTCATATTTATCAGTTTGCCATTTATTGGATAAAATACTCTTAACAATGACATTTTCTACAATGTAGCAGGCTGTGTTTACCTGCAGATCCCCAATAGGGGAATGTATACAGAAGTAACAGCATGTAACATAAAAACAGCTAAGGAAAGCATTGAGAAAGGAGGAAGGTCGCAGAATGGCAGTGAAGTTTGCTGGTTCACGCGGCTGTCATTTCAGTGCTTAGCCTGTGGCCAGGGAGTTACACTGACAGTTGCCACAAACATTCAGAAGACCAGATTCCCAACCACCTGCCAGGATGAGCTAAGGGAACTAGTTTTGCTCTCCTTGTCCTGCCCTGGAGTCACAGATGTGTTTTTCCTGGTGAAATACCAGCTTACAGGCCATGAACATAAACTAGGTTTCAACTTTTTTTTTTTTGTAAAACTAAGATAATCACCTGACATTTATTATTCTGTCTGGATGTCTGGATTTACATCTTCTACATTAAGGGCTGAAATGCTCTTTCCTTGGAGGATTACAGGGAGCCTAGAATGTGCTTTTAGACGATGGAGACGCTCAGGTGGGTGGCAGCCACACCATTTTCCATGTTCAAGTACTTGAACACTTTCCTGTGCAGTGTTTTTCCTGGATCCTCTCCTATGAAACAAGCTTGTGATGTCTGGAGAGTAAGCTGCTCTCACGTCTCTAAGTTGTGTGTGGTTTTTGCTCTTTACAAAAGGCACAGAAATAGCACAGGTGTGTTTTCAAAGGGCCCCTGGAAGGGTTCGGAGTTTGGGGCTGACAGACCTGGGAAAGCCGCTTATTTCGCCACTGGGATTGGAAAACCCTAGATGCCGGTGGGAAGTTCAGGTTGAGTGGAGAGCATTTTGCCGTCAGTGCTAATCAGAGCGAGGTGATGGGAAGAAGGTCTCTGTGGTTGATGTGCCCATGGGATGGGCTCAAGGCTGGTGTGCACTGGCTGGGCTGCTCTGTGCAGTCCAGTAGGTGGACCTGTAAGCCACACCCTGCAGCAGTTACCACTTTGGTTTATAGTACTGATAAAAGTATAGTTTTGGCTCTTAGGGATGAGAGAGGTGCCGGCATTGGGTCTGGATTGAATAAGGCACTTGGAACTGGTGACTGTGGAAGGCAGACATCTTACCTCTGCTCCCTGTGTGCTTGTATAATGGAGCTGCTGCTGAGGACTGGCTTCTAGCATGGAGTTGGGGAAGGAGAAAAGATGGTACCAGCAGTGTCCTCCCCAGCCAGTCATAAAGCCCACAAGTCCCAGCTCTGGGTGCTGCGGTATCTCTTTGCTGGGTCACTGGTGTATGACGGGGTCATTTGAGAGCAGCGAGGGAGGATGTGTAGACCCAGTGTTTCTGGGCTGGAGCCCTACCTAAGAATTACAATGTGAGGCGAGCTTCAGGAAAGGCTGTGAGTGGACAGGCATCCTACTGCCCAGGCGTCATGCCCTCTTGTCAGGGTGGCACTGGCTCAGAGTGCTTAGTAAACATGGTCTGAGAGGCAGGAGGATACTCAGGCCTTCTCACTGGCCCAGCTCCAGGCTCTTTGTAGCACCACGGGGGGAATCACAGGCTCCTAAGAACATTCACACACAGATGAAGGTTTTGGCAGGTTTAGGGAATGCATTGATGTGTTGCATGGATTGGCTGGGGAACAATGGCCTATAGTTTCAGCCTGAGAATTCCTAATAAAGTTAAGAAGGCATGAAAATGTCTCCTTGGAGACCAGTCAGGAGTATTTCTTCTCATACAGTTTAATTTGTTGCTTTTGTGGTTTCTGTGATGTCATCCCACATGTGAGTAGGAAACACACTGGAAGTGTGACCCTTCGTGCGCACTCTGAAATGGAAACCCTGCTTTGTCCTTCCCATTGCTACACATCTATTGCATGTGTTGGGAAAACAGACTGAACTTGCAGGAGTGAACATGTAAGGGGTGGCCTGAAGATTGGCCTTCCAGTTCCCTTTCAAGTGGGTTCACATGACCCACTGCCATTCCTACATGTAGGAAGGGCACAGGAAGGCAGGAAGTAGCACTCAGACCTGCCTGGTGTCTAGGGACAGGCCAACTGGACCTTCTCAGTGGTGCTGTCATGACACTCAAACCAGCTCTCGTCTTGCCTACATTAAAATATAGAAAATAGACAGGTGGTCACTGAAACATAAATATTACTCCTTGTTTCCATCATTTAAAGGATACAAAGAGGGAGGGAAGCACCATCTTCCCTCGGAAATAGTCCTGGCTATTGGTTCCTAAGTTATGTTAGACTTGAAGTTATTGCTAAATATGCTTTGATAAATACTGCATCTTAGAAGTATTCCTTTAATAATACTATCTGTACTGTAAAGGAATATTAGGGTTAAATATGTTGTTCAGACATGGATTGCATGACTCTATAAAAGCTCGTGGTACTACAGAGCTAAGAATGTGTGATCGGCATCCTCTAAGTGGCTGCCGATGATGTAAGATCACAGTTTTGGTTTTCTGGTTCTTTTAAAAACGCACAGGAACTATAGAATCAAGAACCAACAGTTCACATCTTCCCTCTTCCTCCTACTGAGAGGAGGGGCTCAAGAACCAGATCTAAGGCTTTGGGCATCTAGTAAGACAGTGCCTGCATGATGCACCATGGAATTCAGTAAACCTTTTAAATTGTATATGTTTTGGCCTTAATACAACTACCAAATGTAACATCAGTTATAGAAATTCTGCATGTAACTCATTGGTAGCAACACTATCTAACACAGCTTTCCATTTTTAAGGCAATAACTGTATAAGGGACAGACAGATGTTGGCCATTGGAGCTTGACTGTGCTGAGTTCCTATGTATGTGTGATGTGGATACAGTTCTCTACCTATGTATGTGTGATGTGGATACAGTTCTCTAGAGTCACGGAGAGGCACAGGGAGGAACACAAGTGAAGTTGAATGGAGTTTTGCTTACAGGAAAGCAAACCAAGATCTTTAGTGTATGTTTCTTTCTGCTTCAAGACATAGTGTGACCTCAGAAGAATCTGGATCACACTACATCAGAATGACTTAGAAAACTGCTGTCACTTGCCTTCTAAGGTGAAGCCATACCACCCCCCACAACCAAGAGACAGCAAAGGCTTAATGCCATTTTGCCTTATCTTTTTTTAATGTCTTGCATGCCATTAGCTTGAGGCATCTTACTGATGTTCTGAAAATGGCTTCCCAATCAGACACTGAAAAAGTCAAAGATGAAAGTGTTGCTTGCTCTGATCTGCCTCTCATGAGCTTACAGGGGTGGGAAAGTGATTTTCTTACCACGTTCTGTGGTACTCAACAGGTAGGAAAGAAGTGTGGTAAAGACCAACTCTGTTGCAACCATCCCAGCTGAGAAAATAGAAGCCCAAAGAGACACCTTGGGATTCTCTGCCCAATGTGTACGGAAAGGAGAGCAGGTGCGGCTGAGCCAGTGAGCGCGTTCCATTTGGTTATACTTTTTGCAAGCATAAGGATTCTGCCTAATTTTTAATAAGTTGAGCCTAGCGGTAAAATGGAGATTTTTATCTACAGAGTTGGTCAATTAGGTCTGGTTACCATTTCACATCTGAAAATCGTTATGGTTCCATAGAAAGCCTCATCTATCTGTCTGAACACAGGGTCATTGTGTTATAGTCGAGAAGACAATGTGGTCATTTGCTTGGCTCTAAACAGTGCCGGGATGGAGGTCTGCAGTGCCCTTGTAGAAACACCACTGTTCCCAATGTAAACACTGTGCCCACGCCAGCACTCTACAAAGGGCAGCCGGAGAGGCACTCTCGATGTCCAGATAAAGCAAAACCTTAGTGCAGCACCACAGATTTCTTCGCTCTCCAAATGTGCTTGTGTCCAGTTAGCTCAAGGTCACATGTGCTGGCCTAGTGTTCCAGTCTCCATCCTGGGGTGGCCGTACCTCAACATTGTTGTCTCAGATCTTCTGGGGGCCTGTCGGCCTGCAGGGGCCCAGGGCCTTCTCAAAGGCAGGTGTAGCCCAGCCTGGACTTGCAGGCCCCTGGGTATAGCCTGAGCTAGCGATTAAAAAAAATACCATTCCAGGTTGGACCTGGGGTCTCCTGAGCTGTGTCTAGCACCACAACCACAGCCCTGGGTAGCTGGGGAGCTGCTTTCCAATAGGCCTTGATCAGAAAGTAAACATCTTGTCTGGAATCCTGCCAAGCAGGAGATTTCAAGTTCACTAAAGGAATAAAAGCAAAAGAAGCCTTCCTTCCCCGGAAAACTCAGTGATGGTAAAAATGCCTACCACGGCGCACCGTGCAGAAATTAATAACTTACAAGTACCTGAGCAAGTAGGCGAAGCACCATGGCACAGCACTGACGGCAGCAGCTGAAAGGTCTGCAAATAACGGTGTTCTAAACATGAAAAGAATTTCTAAAAGTTGGTACATAACAAACCCCGCTCCAAGTGGAGCCGAGGATAGTGCAAACTTCTGTCTTCATGGCGGCGACAGGCAGCGGCTTGCTTCTCACTTGATGTAGGCGCTGTGGGTGGGTCTTGGCACTTGGTGCCTAGGAGCAGGTCTGAAGAGTAGGCGAGAGGGGAGAAAACACATGTGCAGTTAGAATGTGCACTAGGTCTGCTGACACAGGAGCGTGGAAGAGGTCTACTCCTCCACCTGGTGGCTTTACCAGGCTGGAGCCCACTGCCTTCCACATGAGGCTCGAGGTCATGCTAGTTTTGGAAGGGATACAGCGCACATCGGGGACTTTGCTGCAGGACTCCCGGTGATTTCTGACTGGCCATCACTCCTTTCCAGAGCCCTATCTCACTCCCATGAGTTGATTCTAGAACATTACCATGCACGAGAAAATGAATGTGAACTACTGAAGGTAATGCTACGTTTTTCTTCTTAATAAAAATTTGTGTGCCTTTGTATGTCATCTGCGTGTAGGTGCCCAAGGAGGCCAGAAGAAGGCGTCAGATTAGCCTTGAGCCGGAGTTGCAGTCGTGAACTGCCTGATGTGGGTGCTGGGAACTGAATTCGGGTCCTCTGAAAGAGCAGTACGTGCTCTTAACCACCGAGCCATCTCTCCAGAGCTATAATCTCACTTTCTATCGCTAACTTTTAGTAGCTGTATTGTGAGAGCATTGACATTGCGG